ATAGGAAACCACCACTTCCCCGCGAGGTCTTCATCAGTCTTAGGCTACCAAGGAGCCCTTTGTACCGGGGCGACGTTCAACAGTTAAACGTTAGATCAGCCTTCACCCCAGTTTCAATGGCCACCTTGCCATCCTCCCTGCTAAAACGCTCGCGGATACACCCGAAAAAAAGGCGCTCCTTCCTCCCTCATAGCTTACTTGAAACGAATGGATTGTCTGTCTCTGGGAAGCTGGGACCATCCTTGACATTCTGAAGGTGAAAAAATTCTCGGCCAAGTCCGCTAAGCGATAAGGAGATCGTTGTTATTGTAAACGATAGATACGCGCGGTTCACCCGTAAGTCCTGCCCGTATCAGTGAGAACCAGTATCATATTTGTCGTTCAGCATGGAACAGCTAGTGTTCCTATGTACCAACAACTTCCAGACGTCAATAGCCCTCGCCAGAGCGATACTCTCCAGATAAAATGTCATCAAAGGTGCGGAAAACCTCCACAAAGTCGATCTGTTGTTGACGAGTGGACACCAGGCAGAGTCAACTCGTTTACCTACTTGTAACGTCACGCAGCGACGTAATGTCGTGACATATCTCCAGCCTCGAGGACAGATGAGAATGAATTAAAGACTCCACACATCAACCTCAAGGCAATATGGCCGCTCCAGAGAAGACCGGGCCAAGAAGAAAATTCTGGCAGCTACGACTAGACCAAAACTTAGTTCAGAGGGCCACCTTTGCCGGTCGCAAGTCAAACCAGTTGCCAGCCAGGTCATAGAAGTCTTTTCGAAGGCCACACCGGTTCGGAATATAGTGTGATAGGACATAGGAATCCATAATTCTTTGCCTGAAATCAATCCATGCGTGGAAAAAACCTCTGCACTTAGCTTTTTGGGCTGGCCATCTCTGCATCGAGCACCATTGCTTGTCCTGGAACACCTCTTGTTGATTCCGGAGCACCGTCTAAAAAACAGGAGCGTGAAACTTACAGCTAGCCGCCATATCAGGTGTTTCCCTGAGCTGGAGAAAGGACTCGCCGCTGCATGGCTGACCGGGATCCTTCAGGCTTGTTCGGTGATGACAGGGGAGCGCACAGCACCGTCCTTCAAGGTGCCTGGAACCTTTCAGGGCTGGGCTGGTGGGGGCGAAAATAGTTGACTGAACTATCCGGAATACAAGAGATGATTGTGTGCCACAAATCGCGGACGGACACTCAGAAGGCTGACTGAACTGAACTGAACTAAAACCCGCGGCGGCGACACTTTCGTTCACTCACCACCTCCCACGACAAATTGCATCCGCTCAGAATTGGGTTAGGGGCTCTCTCCTCTTCGTGTTTTCCATATGTCCCTTTCTAATGATAGAGCTCCAATTTTTCATCTTCCTGAAAATTTTACGCCTCTTCGTGGAGCTTCGTCTTCTCTGTGAATCACACCTGACTTTTTTTCCTCGCCCACCGTCTCTTGAGCCTCTGGCTTTGATTCCCAAGACTGGCCGATATTATCTCGACGGTAGCATCAAGACTCCACATTTCCACTCCTAGCGGCCTCATGCAATAACAACATGCTCCTCCCATGACTCGGAAACCCCGAGTTCGACGTGTGAGCGCTTCGAACCCCTCGCCCCCTCCCCCGCCGCCCGACCCCCTACCTTTTGAATATGTGTCCCGGACAGGCAGCTGCGCTTGGCCGTCCTCACGTCGTAAATTTGACCGAACGAGCTTTACTTGACGCCGTCAGTCCGGCTGCCGCACGTCTCCATCTCACGGCGCAGCAGTTACAACCTGGGTGATTGGCCTTCACCAAGAGTTGGGTTCACCAATTCCCACAAGATGTTGTCTCGCAGACGAGTATGTTTATGTCTATTCTACCTATTTCATAATCCTTGCGGAGCGCATGCTGATTCTGGGTACCCACACAGTTAAACCGCGACCATGTCATATTTCGTCCATCATTTCCAGTACTCTGAATGCCTGCTGGCGCGGGGTTCATGTGACGTTATACCTAGCGGTTCGATGATTAGGACAAAATAATACCCTTCCATAAACGAGCAAGTCGTACACAGGACTGACGCGACGCTGATTGCGAGGCAGATGGTGTGGAGAGGCATTTCGAGGGTTTCTGATACACTGGCAGGGACTAGGCATAGGGCTTTGCTTACTAGGCCTGTGGACGGTCAACGCCATTCGCGGCAGAAGCAACCGAGGGCACCAGATCTTATTATCATATCCATTTGCGCATCGTCCGTCGCGAGAGAAATGCTGGGGATCCGACTGACATTATCCACATACGCGTTGATTCACTGGACGCTCAGAGCACATCAACGATAGGAATGATGGCATATAGCGCGACCAAAGACGGTGATGCAGTCCAGGCGAGTGGGGTGCCGGTGAGTATCTTTGAAATTCACAGAAACTATGTTATAACAGCATAGATTGTAACTGGATGCATTTCGCGCCGTCACTCAGTGACTCCTTCGCAGTGCGATAGCCGCTTCAAAAGGTTGGAGTGTATGATTCGTGGGGTCGACCAGCAGCATACAGACGGCAGATCTAAGGTGACATGCTACGACGACCCGTTCGTCGCTACATTGAACAAGTCCTAAGCGGAAATTCTAGAGCAGGGACGCTCCGCTCGAAGTGAGGTCAAGTAACATGTGCAGTTGAATGCGGTGTACAAATTAGAATGAGATGGGATGGGTGTATTCTATTTTCTATTTCAGACGTAGTTCATGTGACGAGTGTCGAATCTGTCATCGTAGGTTGAACTGTAGAGTGTTGGGACCGTTTCTCTGTCCCCTTGTTGCGTAATACATTCTCGATGAAGTATTCGCCCGCCTGGAGGGAATAAATAGACAGAACTGTGCATGAGAATAATATACACTGACCTTATAACTACTGCGAACTAGAGGTCCGCTCGCCACATACAAGAAGCCCATATTCTCAGCGATCTGTTTCCAGCGGTCAAATTCTACGGGTTCCACGTAGCGATCAACTTTCATATGCTTCTTTGTAGGGCGCATATATTGGCCAAACGTGACAACGTCAACATCAACCTTACGAAGCTCTGTTGGGCGTTCAGGCCACGCTATGTGATGATGATTGAGAAATTAGCGAACCTCTTAGGGCGTCCATAACTTGGTCTTCGTTCTCTCCAACACCAAGCATGATGCTTGTCTTCGTCACGCGTACCCCTTCTTGTTTAGCTCGCTCCAGAACACTAAGACTCTGGCGGAACGTCGCGCGACGGTCGCGTACGAAAGGGGTGAGGGCTTCAACGGTCTCGATATTGTGCGCATACACATCCAAGCCGGACTTCGCCACCAGAGATACATGGTCCAGGTTGCCAGCCATGTCACCTGTCAATGCTTCTACCAGAATTTGTGGGGCTCTTGTAGGTAGCATAAGTCGAATCCTCTAAGCGCGTACCGAAGATGCTACGTACTTCTGCTTGATCTTTCGAATCGTTTCCGCGAAGTGGTGTGCTCCAGAATCAGCAAGGTCTTCGGTTGGAGGTGCCATTGAGTCTTAGGTATGAAAGAGCAAAGAGCTCGAACACATACCATCGCGGTCGACGCTTGTGAGCACGATGTAGCCCAGACCCCACCGACTAATTGCCTCAGCTGTGTTCTCAGGTTCGTGTGGGTCCAGGGGCGGCGGAGTCTTGGACGTCTTGACAGAACAGAACCGGCAACCCCGTGTACACGTATCGCCCATTAGCTGGTTCATAATTCAGTCACCAAGAAATGAAGGTTAATGAGGAATCGTACCATGATGGTCGCAGTCGCTGCACGCTTGCTCTCTTCCGGGGTTGCACCATCCTTTCCGCCCCAGCAGTCCCCTATATTCGGACACCGCGCTTCCTCACACACCGTATGCAGCCCTAGTCCTCTAAGGTCGTTCTTAATCTTGTTGAACGATGCACCAGTCGGTATGGACGTCTTGAGGTAAGAAGGCAAGCGAGGGCTTCCTCAGCGCATACAAGTAGTCAGGCTATTATCTGCTCGCAAGTAGCGCTACATACGTATTTGTGTTTCCTAGCACGACACGCTCTGGGACATCACCAGAAATGAACTGGTCCAGCGACGGACCCTGTTCTAGTGTCTCCGTGAATGTGGTCTTCTTTGACGCGGATGTCGCTAGACGTATATGTCTCAACACCGAGACACGCATGACGCGTGGGGCCCATGGGGGCTTGAGAATGTACGACATCCAAGTCTTGTGATGGATTATAGGAGTGCTGTGCGCGGCGGAACGCGGAGGACTCAATTCAGCCCCGGAGTCACGGGCCGCTACGTCAGTCCCAACGAGGATGAGCACGCTTTCTCGACGAGAGGAGGATACGCTTTTTAAAGCGACAAAGGCTCACGCCCTCAAAGAATGCGACACGTTAGTCAAAGGTACGTTTGCGGTACAGTGTCATTTTCCTGGATTTCACCGTCCCTGTAGAATTTGCCGACTGTGCCGCTGGACGTACCGTTTCAGTAACTTGGGCATGCAGGGCAAAGTTCAAGGCCGTTCAGGATTGTATGTACCAGTTGTGAGTATCCTATCCTAGCCATACACATTGGTAACTAATATACTCCAAGTACACAGCCGGAAAGCATGCAACGTGTGCGGGACGAATACCTCCGGATACGCAATGAACAACAGGAACAACTATCGTCATGATGGTAGTCCTTCCTCAGGGCCTAATACCATACCTCAGAATCGAAAGAAAATAGCATCCACTTTCACATACAAATCAGTGCAGCACGATCCACAGGTTCTCGTTAGATTGAGCTACGTTGCATGTGTTTGGTTGTACAACTCCCCCGGTACTTTGCTGCCATCATTGACAGACTGGGTGACATTCATCGATTTCATCTCTGGAGTATGTGTAGGCGGTGGTTGGCCTATGCAATATACTGGCTTATTGACTGCAGGAATGCTCGAACGAGGGACAAGGAATCTGTTGTCATATCGTCCATGGTATGTATCTTCACCACCGTGTCAAGCACTGTGTACAAGACGCCATAACCGAGCGGAGATGGTAACAGACACGAAATCTGTTTGTTTCCCTCTGAGAGTGCAGACAAGAAATCTGCTTACCTTTGGGAGTGTAGGTTCGAATCCTGCTGGTGTTCGAGCTCTTTTTGCTTCTCGTTATAAAGTCTCTTATTCTCTTATTCTCTTCTAGCGAACCAATCTTACGTGCATACATAACGTAACGTTACAATCCAACATGCCTTGGCCCAATTGGATCCTGAAACAGTTCACCCCCATTCCTGGTGGTTTGGACAATACTGCCCAAGAATTCCTATTCTATGGTCTTTACAACACAATTCTGGGCTACCTGGTCGTGCCACAGTATCAGCGACCGATGATGGACAAACAATCGACATTACGTTGTCGATTCGACCAACACGCACACCCCCATATTCCAAGCCGCCGGGTCACATCAATGAGTTGAGCAAGTGCAAGCAAGCGGACACACAGATGCGGGACTGTGTTCGAGAACTCATAGCTGAGCTACAGATCCCTAAGTACACGGCGTCAGCGTGCGAGCGTACGGGCTGCGTTTTACCATGACGATGCGACAATAAACGTCCTCAAACCGGCGGTCATCCCCTGTGATCCTGTTCGCGTAACCGATACTGCACCTGCAGCGCGTTGGAATATCCAGCATTCACGCCCAAAGGTCAGCTGGTCTGCGTAACACGCGAACCGATTTCGTCGTGAGTGCCACGTGGTTCTGAGCGTTGGTCCAAGCACGCATTTATCTTTCATATATGCCTGCCAGTGTTGGGGTCGTGTTTCACTCGACGTTATTTGCGAGAGGGTAAACGTAGATACATTCACAGCGTCGGTATGTGTCCAACTAAGTACAAAATGACAATTGAATACGATTACTTCGAATTTACTGCCAGCCACTGAGACTGAAGCGCTAGGACGGAAGTGATGAAGCTATGTCAAATATACATCAGAATCCGGTGCAGAGGACAGCAAGACAAGTGGGCGTTACCCAAGAGTGCCAAGAAGGCCGTCGTTGAGGTTCACGAGACCAAGGTTCGCCGCGGGGAGCCACGCATCAAGAACGTCAATAATGAATTGGTGGCGTGTAGCTGTCCGCATGCTGTGGAATATCGTGTGTGAAAAGAGATAAACAAGTAGGTGAAGGAGGACTCACGCATGTAGCGCCCGGAGCTGAGACTCGCGCGCGTTCCCTTCACCCAGGTTCTTTTCGTCCAGACCACGGATTTTGCGCGTCTCTCTGGTCAAGCGGCTGGCCTAAGCGAACGCCACATGAATAAATACCACGAGCTCGGTCAGTAGAGTATCACGGAACCCACCTTGAACACGGCATGCGTGATACTAAACAAAATACCGGCTAGCCAAAAACGGTTTGAAATTTTTTGCACCTTCTGAGACGTTTCCGGCTTCAGGGTGATAACCTTGATGGCGTTGGCCTGGTAAAAGCATATTCACCATGCTTGCTCGCGCGCGAGCGTCACCATGTATACGCACCCACACGACGGCATCATAGGTCAAGTAACCGAAGTACCCGAGCTGACGGGCAATGGTAGTAAGTTGTTCTTTGACATCACCCGTGGTTTGCGCCGCACGAAGGGCGGCCTGCAGGTGTTCCAACGGCTTCCCGAGGCGCAAAACTGAGCCATGTATCAACGACGAACAGACTTTCACGGTTTGAAAGGGGCGCACGTTTACGAGCAAGAGCCAGATGGCTTTTCAAAGCATTCCAGCGAACGGCTTCAATTTTACGACCTCTTGAAATGAGATACCATGCGAAGAAGCGTGCAAAGTATTGCGTCGCTCTATATACCTGGATCACTCCTGTTCATCAGGCGCGGGGAATGGGCGTGAGAAGTTTTGGCCCCAAACCTTGTCGCGGCCCACGCTTGTGCCGAGAACTCTGAGACTTGCACTAGCAGTCGGATGAAGGATTAGTTGGGACGCAACGTTAGCCATCGTGGTATGAACGGATGGATGGAACCAGCAGCACCGCTAATGTCTGTGAGCCGAGCCGCGTTCTTGAGTTCGAATCACATGTTGTAGAGGCGCGGGGTCAACAATTAATTGTCAATTAATGTGTTGTTATCATTTAAATAATTAAATAATTACGGATTTACCTCGCTGGCAAAGTGCAGCAGAGACACTCTGTTTATCCGCGCCTCTCCGTGTTCGAGAAAAAACAATCCCAAAGGAGAACCCAAGTTGAAGACACGTAGAAGGGACCGTCAGAGGGATCTCGTCGCCTGCTTGTTCTGTGCTGTTGTCACCCATTTCTCAGTCATTTAGCTCAATTCAGCCATGTCTAGTCTTCGGATACCCCGTTTTGTGAGGCTTTCCCCGATGCTGCCGGTATCTTGATTTCTCTGCTCATGTGATTTCAGCCCCTCCACGTGTATTCTAGAACCCCAGGAGGTCTGTCCTTGTGCCAGCAGAGGCCATTCTCCCTCACCAGGCTTGCCATGGTATGTGTCTTTCGTGACTTGGTTTTTTGATTGTCATGGGTAACCTTGCACAAAAGTCTTCCCAATCTTTTCGCGTAGAAAAGGACACGTTTGGTGAGCTGCAAGTTCCTGCTGACCGTTACTGGGGCGCGCAGACCCAACGGTAAGTTGCAAAGTCATCCATACAGGACACCGCTCATCGTTGTGTCCAGGTCATTGCAAAATTTCGACATCGGCGGCCCAACTGAACGTCTTCCCCCTCCGCTGATCAAGGCTTTTGGTGTTCTGAAAAAGGCAGCATCCCTAGTCAACGTGACTTATGGACTAGACCCCAAAATTGGAAAGGCTATTCAAGAAGCTTCAGATGATGTGTGTTTATGTCACTGAAGAAATATTGTTACTCATCTGATGCGGCATGGAAGGTAATATCTGGCAAATTGATTGATCACTTCCCACTCGTCGTGTTCCAAACCGGTTCGGGAACCCAAAGCAACATGAATGTCAACGAGGCATGTTTCGATTTTCGCGAACCTTTTTCAACTCAAGGACATGATATATTACGGTACAGGTCATTTCTAACCGAGCTATTGAGATCCTTGGCGGAGAGCTGGGCTCCAAGACGCCTGTGCACCCTAACGATCACGTTAACATGAGCCAAAGCAGCAATGATACGTGAGTATGACCCCATTCTATGCCGAGTAACCTAGTAGAATTTATTATTACTACGAAGATTTCCGACGGCTATGCATGTGGCGGCTGTTACTGAGCTCACCAATAACCTGATTCCCGCCCTAGAGGGATTGCGTGCCGCTCTTGACGAGAAGGCCAAGTCGTTCGACCACATCATCAAGATCGGCCGAACGCACCTCCAGGCAAGCCGAGGCGACTAGAACCTTAACCTAGCAATGACACCAATGACTGACGTCATCGGATGTAGGACGCGACCCCTCTCACTTTGGGACAAGAGTTCAGTGGCTACGTCCAGCAAGTTGCCAATGGGATTGAACGTATTAGAGGGGTTATTCCTCGCCTGAGTTTGTTGGCTCAAGGAGGCACTGCAGTCGGCACTGTGCGTGGAGTGCGCGCACGAGTGTGAAAGCTTCTGACTCGACTGACAGGGCCTGAACACGAAGAAAGGTTTTGATGTAAAAGTTGCTGCGGAGATATCCAAGATTACTGGCATCACGTTCAAGACTGCTCCAAATAAGGTACTTGAGGCTCGCAACTTTTGTCGGGTTCTGGTACGGCCGCTTACACTGTTATTGGTCAGTTCGAGGCGCTTGCCGCTCATGATGCGCTTGTTGAGGCACACGGAGCGCTCAACGTCGTTGCGTGCTCATTCATGAAGATTGCCAACGACATTCGCTACCTAGGCTCTGGCCCTCGTTGTGGCCTTGGGGAACTCAGTCTTCCCGAGAACGAGCCTGGTAGTAGTATTATGCCTGGCAAGGTCAACCCGACACAGTGCGAAGCCTTGACCATGGTTGCGGCACAGGTGATCGGAAACCAGACCACGGTCAGCGTCGCCGGCTCCAATGGCCAGTTTGAGGTGAGGTGTGTTATAAAGAGTGGTGGACTGGATGGATTTGACACTGCACAGCTGAACGTGTTTAAACCGGTGATCATCAAGAATGTTCTGCAAAGTATTCGACTGTTGGCGGACGGCGCTCGGTCGTTCACGAAGAACTGCGTTGGGGGAATTGTGGCTAACGAGAAGCGGATTAACACGTTGTTGAACGAATCGCTCATGTTGGCCACGATATTGAACAGTCACCTTGGCTACGACAGTAAGGCTTGTGATATGCTACGGGTATTATTGATCTCTGATTGGCGTGATGTAGATGTTGCCAAGTGCGCAAAGAAGGCACATAAGGAAGGGACGACGTTGAAGGAGGCGACGGTAGCGCTTGGATATCTGACGGCGGAGGAGTTTGAGGGGAAGGTGCGACCCGAGTTGATGCTGTACCCTGAGGATGAATAGGATAGGGTAGTGAAGCATGCGTGGCTAGCCGAAAGAGGGTCGAGTGATGACGAGAAAGGAAATTACCCAGTTTGCGATGAGACCTGACCTGAACTGAATGCTAACAAAACGGCGACTCCGCGTCAACGGCCCCCCATCGGGCCCCTCGCTCGCTCTCTCGTCCCTGCCCTCGCTTGGGCTCTCTCTCCCCGCTCTCCCCACTCCCTCTTTTCTTTTCTCTATTGCCTTTTTCACTATCCTCTCCCTCCAACTATCCCTTCCGACAACACACATCTCTTGCTCTGTTGGCATACAACTGTCCCACGAGGCACACCTCCCACCTTAGCTCGGCAGTGCCCTCCCCCTTCTTTGCTCGCCCACCCATGTCACTCAGCAGGATTCTCAACAATGATCATCCCGCTCCGGCCTCCGTGCCGTCGGGTCCCGCCCATCACCTCTATCCCCCACTGCCTAATAACATCCTTTCTCCTCGACACGAACGCACTCCATCCCCCTCTTTCTCCCCTCGCTCCCGAACTCCAATCTCCCGCCAGGCCCACTCTAGTCCTGCTATCGACCGGCGCCCCGGTGATTTTCCCTCGCGGTCCGGCGGGCACCAGGACACTGGCACTTGGGATGATGTGGCCGAGTGGAGGCACCCTTCTCGTGCCCGGAACGGAAACACGGAAAATCAGCGCGAGACGTCCCCATC